CCTCACCAGACGATCCCGCCCAGCATCTACAACCTCAAGTACCTGCGCGTCCTAGACATGTCCAACAACCTGCTGACCAACCTGCCGGAGGATATCGGCCGGCTCAAGGGTCTGCGCGTGCTGCGGCTGTCCTGCAACAACTTTGAACGTGTGCCACCCACCATCGGACACCTCACCCAGCTGGAGGAGCTCAACATGTCCCAGAACAGGGTGCGCCGCCTCCCGCCCGAGATCAAAGGTCGGTTTAGTTGATTGGTCGGTTGGTTTGTTGGTTGGTTGTTGGTTTGTTTTAATCAGTAAGAGTTTCACCCAGCTGGAGGAGCTCAATTTGACCCAGAACAGAGATCAAAGGTCGGTTGGTTTGTCTGTTTGTTAGTTGGTTTATTGGTTGGTTGGTTGGTTGGTAGGTAGGTAGGGAGGTAGGTAGGGAGGTAGGTAGGGAGATAGGTAGGTAGGTAGGTAGGTGGGTAGGTTGGTTGGTTTAGTAAGAGTTTTACGGTACTAGCAACAGAAGCGGGAATTAGAATCTTGTCCATCCATGTTACTCTTTGTCTTCCCCTGGCTCTCCTGCCCCACATCCTTCCTTCAAACACCTCTTTCACAATGGAAATGGTGAAATGGTATCTATAGGTTTAACGCCCCTATCAACACTAAAAGATTATTTAAGAGGCGGGGACCTTCATCTCCGAAAAGACCGAACCAAAGTGGAATTCTTGAAAAGTGCCTTTCCCATGGACACAACGTTGAACCGAGCTGAAGCTCAAACCCCGAAACCGCAATCTCATGACTATGGGTCCTACAGCCTAACGACTAGGCTACTGACGCCTTTCAGAATGGTCTGGTGTGAGAATGGTGAAATGGTATAGGTTTAATGCCCCTATCAACACTATAAAGTTATTTCAGAGATGGACAATGGTGAGGTGTTGTATTAATTTGGCCAAATTTAATTTTTTGTGTGCATAATTTCTGATTATTTTCCTTTACCATTCTTTCTTAAAATTAACAGAATCGCATAATTTCACATTTTTGGGCTCAGTTTGCATAAGTAAATGTCAACAAAATGTAATTAATACATTTTTATTTTTTATTCCCCCCCCCCCCCACCCCCCTCAGGCTTGACGTCCCTCCAGATCCTGATCCTGGAGCGCAACAACCTGCAGAGCCTGCCTGAGGAGCTGTGCGAGCTGAGGGAGCTGCACACGCTGGACGTGACCGACAACGAGATCCGCGCCCTGCCCATGGCCATGCACCGGCTCACCAAGCTGACCGAGGCCCACGGCTTCCACAAGCTGGAGAAGTGCGGGCTGTGGCTGTACAAGAACCCGCTGGACCAGCCCCCGCCCGAGATCTGGCGCACGGAGAAGCCCGAGAACATCTTCGAGTACCTCAAGAAGCTGATGATCATCAAGACGGAGAACCTGCAGAGGCAGAAGATTCAGGTGCTGGGGAGCAGCCAGGGCGGGAAGACCAGCCTGGTCAACGTGCTCAGCCTGAGGAAGTCTTTGCTGACCAGAGGGCTGGCTGAGAGGACGCGGATCCTGCAGCAGACCATGTGGAAGACGGAGAACAACGTGGAGTTTGTGCTTAACGACTTCGGCGGCGACCCCAGCTACCGGATCCTCTACCAGCTCTTTCTCGACAGCAAGGCCCTGGTGCTCCTCGTCTACAACGCGATGGCCTTCACGGAGGAGTCCTTCTACCCCCTGATTGGCCAGTGGCTGGACATGCTCAGCACAACCACCCCGGGAGCTGTTGTTAAAATAGTGGGCACACAGGTCGACCTACTGCATCCCGTGATAGAGGACGATGAGGACGACGTGAAGACCATATCTTCTGATCACGAACTCAAGCTTTTGTACCCCGCCTCCGAAGAATCTAGGAGTCGCTGCGGGGGAGAAATAGAGGAGGAGGAGGAAGATGATCTCTTTGACATGGGTCCTCAAGACGAAGCCGCCATCGCCAGGAACACCAGCACGCCAGCCGTGCCAGAGCCGCCGCAAAACGAAGTGGTCAAAGATCTCGTCAACAAGCATCTCAAAAACCACGAAGAAAAAATTCAGGAGGAACTAGAATCACTTCAGGCTGACATCGCCAAGATGACAGGCAAGAAAACATCAGAGCTCACTGACATCGAGGACGCGGCTCTCAAAATGATGAATATTAGGGAGCAGAAATTGAAAGATATCTTGAAAACTCCGCTCAAAGTCCTGCCAGAGGTTGCAGTCGTCAGCGCCTCTGACAGCTTAGAGGGCATCCTGCCTTTAATTAACGAGCTCGAACATTTGGCGATAGATCAGAATCTCTTCCCACATGCACAAAGACATGTGCCGGCACATTGGAACAGGATGCGGGCTATGCTCAAACAGAGAAAGGGCTACTACTTGTACTGGGATGACCTGGAGGCTACAGCCAGCCTTTTCAGCATCAAAGGGGAGGAACTCCGAGAATGCATCCTGTACCTTCATGACACCGCCGATGTCTTGTGGTACCAGGACGTGCCGGGCTTGTCAGAAATTGTCTTCCACAAACCAAAGACGCTGGTGGACATCCTGGCCTCGCTGTACCGCCACGACATTCAGGACTACCTGCAGTACGAGAACAAAGTCTTCCTCAGCAAAGGCCGGCTGAGCAGGGAGCAGTTTGAGGAGACCACCAACATCTTCCTCCACACCGGAGAGATCTCCAGGCCCCTCCTCAACTGCCTCTGGTTCCACATGAACTTTAAAAACGACGACTTGACCGAGCTGTTGGAGTTGCTGCCCTTGCTGGAAGTGTGCTACGCCGTACCGGAACCAGACGTGCCCATCGGACCTCTGTACAACCGGCCACTGATGGTGGTGCCCTGGTACAACGAGGATACCGACTTCACGCTGCTCCGAGAAGTGTGGCCGGCAAAACCGACCGACGGGGAGCGGGACCTGACGGTCATCTACACCTTCCCGTTCTACTACCCTCCCGAGATCATCCCCAGCTTCTCCGCCCAGATCCACGAGTTCGTGGACGAGCGGCTCGACTGGAAAGACTTCATTTACGCCGCCTGCGACACAGAGAAGCTCATCGTCCAACACTCCAAGGACAAAGACTCGGCGGGCACCGTCACCATCGTGGTGAGAGGCCCCGACTTCACCGAGGTGCAGGACCTCATGAGGGAGCTGGTGGAGATGCTCAACACCACGCTGCTGAGGTACCCGAGCCTCTACTGGAAGCTCTCCATCCCCATGGGGGGGAGCATCATCAAGGCCCTCGCCGAGACCGAGCTGTCCGTGCCGGGGAACTCCAGGAGGGCCAGCCGACTCAGCAGGTCCACTTCTTTCAAGAACTGATTTTTCTTTTAGTAAGACTTTTACAGTACTTACAGCACAATTAGGTCATACAATTTTTATTTTTTATGCCAAAGATCAGATTTGTTCGTTTGAGTAAAGAGAAGCACATCGACACAATAACGGTATTTTAGTGGTGGGAAATTGTAGGACAGACAGACAGACTGAAACAACAAAAGGAATGCAAAGAAGTAGGACCAACAGGGGTGCCCTCCAACCACCCGCCCAAAGATCAGAGTTGTTATAAGAGAGTAACAAACACAAAGAAGGAGAAGAGATTAGAACAATAGATGTATTACCAGAAAGGATGGAGCAAACCACACCAGAGCATCTGCCAACCACCCAATCAAGAACTGAGATAAATATAAAATGTACAAAGTTTTCTTTTTCCTCAAGCTCTGCTTCCCCAGAGCCTTGAATGAGACACGGAATTGCAGGTTTATCAAGACGTTTATTCTTGATTTATTTTGGAAGAAAACGAAAAAAAAAACGAACTGCTTCTCTGCAACAAGTGTTACTGAAGTCCATGATACTTCATCCAGAAATGCCACACCACTTGCCTTTTTAACAGTACAGAATATCAGTGAGTTAGGACGCTATTTTCAAAAAATGGCATTGCAGTGTGTGTAGGTCTCGCCCTTCATTGTATTGAGAGAAATCTTTCTGCTTATTACAACCTTATACAGGGGATGATTATAATTATTAACTCTCAAAATATCACACTGCACACCATGGGTTTCTATTTCGTTGTATCTCTCGACTTGAAAATACAAAGTAAGATACCAGTGGGAACTGATGGAATACGGAGAATAATTCATTCTTACAAAATAAAAGTACAATACTTTGTAAGAAGGTGAAAACAGAACTCAAGCACCTGTGATATTTGTTACGACTGTGTAGATGTGATACTTCTATCATTCTTTTGCGTTAACCGTAACATAAAAAAGATTTCTTGTATCTGTGATATTTTTTCTAAACTTATAAGGACTTAATTATACTTACATTTTATGTTTGCCGTTGTAAATAAAAGTACATTGAAATGAACACTGTTGCTGCCCACATTATTGCGTTTTTGTATACTTTAGAGAGCGATGTGCACAACAGAAAGAATTGCAACCATACAAAGGAACCTAATCTCATTTTGCACATGATATTCAGTCAGTTATATTTCAACACTAGATTTCAACACCTTCAAAATACTGACTTTGCACCAGCCAATCGCCCATTTACTGAAGATATTGTTTATCAGTTTGAAACCACTCCTTCACAATGACGGCCATATTGATTTAGTTTTAGTTTTAATAATAAGAGTTTTGTTTTAGTATTGCTTTAGTAAGAGTTTTATAGCACTTGCAACACAATAAGGTCAAATAGGTAGTAGTAGTAGTAGTATGGGCAACTGTCAAATAGGTGCCGAAGAATAGATTATGTGTTACAAGAGAGTAACAAACACAAAAAAAAGGAGGTGAGATAAGGACGACAGATGTTTGATAGAAATGAAGGAGCAAACCACGGCAGAGCACCTGCGAACCACCCACTATAAGAGTTTTATGGCACTTGCAACACAACTGGGTCATATAAGTGACATAGATTAAAGGTGTTACTACAAAGTAACATACAAAGAAACGAAGGAGTAGAGATTATGAAGAAAGATGTTGTTCGATAGGAAAGAAGGAGCAAACCACACCACAGCACCAGCCAACCACCCATCATACTGAATCTTGCATTTGGAAAAGAACAGTATGACAATATGACAAAACAAACATGGAGCAGGAATGGAGAAAGTGGAGAAAACCGTCAAGCCCTACCTTCCCCCCAAATATTATTAGCAAACATTTCCTCACCTGAGACCAGAATGCAAATATTCTGAGCGAGCGCACGGGAGAAAAGAAGAGGAATGGGACTGGAATCTCAATGACGTAGGTCGCTACAACGCTCAATTTCAGGAGCCACTCGGGAAATTGATGCCAGTACCAGGCAGCAGGCGTTGGAATGCACTGAAACAGCAAACATGGGAAACATTATATCACAGTTACGCTCAAGTCAAACAACGAGTATTTCTCATATTTTACATTGTCAACATCAACGCATGCTCTCTCATACTAAATTACTGATCGTTTCAAACTTTTGCATTAAACAAACATTTCCCACACTGAAAAAAAATAATTTCTGATGTCTAACTTGACTCCTAATATCAACCCATTCAACACAAACACAAACACACAAACAGTTTTTAATTTTTTTCCTCTGTCCCTCCCCCACCTTCTCTCTTTTCTCTAAAAGCCAAGAATCAAACTTTTTTAAAACTCTTAATAATCTATACTTGTGACACAAAGTTTCCTTTCAGATGTAAATAAAATATAAGTGGAAGACTGTTAGAGTAAAAAATCAATAAGATTGAATTGGGTCCATACTAAGACTAATTAAACTGGCAAAATACTAGTCGTGTGGGGCTCCAAGAACTTCATGGGAAATACACACTGATATCAAGAACGAAGAAAAGAAGAAGACACAAGGTACCCAAAAAAATTTTTTAAGACTTTCCAGTCTGGTAGGTATTGGGTGTCCGCTAAGACTAAGACTAATCCAATTAATTCAACGTGCAAAGAAAAACAGTACTAAATTTGCTTTAAAAAGGTGGGAAATCTCCCTTTTTTTTTTCGATCTGCAAATTTTTCGAGATTTTTAGTAAGATGTGTGTGTGTGTGTGTGGGGGGGGGGGGGAGAATATATATGGAAATAAGGAAAGAGAAGAAAGTGACACGATTGATGAAATAAGTCATGAATGGGCTAGATCTAGACCGCTAGTCCAATAACACAGAGACATGAGACTGCTGTCCTGGCTAACGAGCTTAACTGAAACATCAGTGCTGACAGCAGGAACACAAAGCCCCTCCCAATGAGAGGGTTAAAGAGACTATATCAGTCAAGAAATGGCAAATTGTATGAGCTATCCATGATTTTGAGTTTTCCATGTTCCTGTTATCTGTGTCCAGCTGTATTTGCACTCTAACAACATACACTATACACATTCCAAAATGATGAAAAAATAGTGCATGCTCCTTACCTGAGACTCAAAATGCACGTTCAGAGCTGAAAAATACAAGAACAACAAAACTTTAGCACATCATTTAGTAATTTCATTTCAATACAAATTAACAAATAAGTACTTGCATTTTACACAACAAATTAACAAATAAGTACTTGCATTTTACCCAACCAAACGTTCAGTATTCATCTAATTTCTGAGACTAACATATAAAACCAATTGAAAGAGACAAAAATACTTTAATTTAACCCCTTTGTGACCTATACGACGTACACCGTTCGTCATTATTTCTTATACGGCAAAGGAGCCAAGATGCTGCTGTGATATATGGCGTTTGTCATGCCTTGCAAAGAACGAACGAGGACCATGGTGACGAACGCCATTTATCATAGGTTGTATTCTGCATACCGCTTCTATTAGACGCATTTCATAAAAGCAATCACAGATTCGCCCTCAACGATATTTTTCCTGTACAAAAAAAAAAACTTTTCCTTTTAGAGATAGCAGTATTTACAAACCAAGTCTAATTATAAGGTAACTGACCACTAAATCTAGCATAACTTTTTGTCCCCGGGGATCCAAAACTGTGCTAGATGAAGCATGAACTGACCGTGTGTTACGAAGGTGTTAAATTCCTTTGCAAGGTAACCGACTATACACTGCCCATGCTCATGAATCTCATCTACAAAATTTCACACCTTATTTTTAAAACAGAGCTCTATTTTTTAAAAGGACGTTGCTACTTTACTTTACTTTTCCAATCCAGTAGCCATGTGAGTTCTAGCCCTTCAGCCTGGAAGGTGCTACAGAAATTTTAAATATTATTATTATTGTTTGTTGTTGTTGTTGTTGTTTTTTTTTTTGGGGGGGGGGTTTAGAGAGGACTTTGCCATCCACTGGATAATTATAAGAGGCCGAAGCCTCATCAGCTTCATGTAGTATCACTTTGTTTTGTAGAACAAGGCTGTAAGGTCGGGAACAGATATTACACTTTGATCTTAACCAAAAGGCAGAGAAACGATAATTACTCAACAGTTGAATGGAATAATATCAAGAAGCTGGCCCAGGATAGGGAAAAGGGAAATGTATTTATTCGTGATCTATACTCTGATACACAATGAGGAAGGCCATGATGATGAAACAGTTGAAAATAGCCATACAGACATATTCTATATTCCATTAAGTGTTTGGCAGGCTTGCCAACTTTTCAAAATTCAATCACGGACACGCAACATTATACCATCAGATCACATTTCAACAAACAAAATTACATCAAGTGGGACTGGTTTTCAGGAGTAATGTTCGTAATGTCCTCTCGAATTCCCAACTGATGAATTCGGGACAGTCCTAGGAATTTCGTAACAGTTTAGTTAGCAAGCCTGGTATTCGGTGTAATTCAGCGGAGAAACTTACTAAATTTTTAAAGTTTTAAAGGGCATTCAAAAATTCGAGGTGCAACTTATTGTCAAATATCTCCTTAACTATCGAACATAAACTCTTCAGCTTTTGCACAGTGACTGGTATCAATTTGTCTTAACAGTTCAGTATTTATGTAAAGACCTGTCAGCATTATTCTAGAAAATTCCTTAACAAATACTAATAAAAAATCCTAGTGGGTGGTTTCTACTGATTTTAAAAGGTTTACAGCTGTGGCGATATCGCTTTTAAAAGCAAGTCTGTCATTTTTTTCTAATCGGGAGATTATCTTAATTGAACACATGTTTTGAGAACTTTTAGTGCAAAAAAGTGTTCACTGTAAAATTAATTTCCTGTAATTAGTTGAGCCACTAAAAAGTATCATCGGTGAGCTGTGACGTAACTCATATGCGTATACAAAATGTGTGGGAGAAGCGGGAAATGCTGTGAACAATTCCATTTTCAGCTTGAAGGAGACTTGTAGTATTTTATATAAATTTGTAAAGAAAAGTTTTTAAATCTAGCCTCAACTGATGTGGAAAAATATGATTAAGTTTAGACAAATTGGGACAAACTGCTGCACAAAGTACGGGTGACTCTTGATATACCCGCTAAAAAGACATTTGAGGATAAGTTGCGTCACAAATTTTTGACATCACTGTGTGACTATAGTAAGTGTTTTATGGCACTTGCAACACAGTAAGGTCATATAAGTGCTCGAGATTAAAGGAGTTACAAGAGAGTAACAAACACAAAAGAGGAGGAGAAAAGATCAGGACAATACATGTTTGATAGGAAACAATGAGCAAACCACACCAGAGCACCCGCCAACCACTCGCAAACTTTATTGAACTGCAGGGTTTGACAAACTTTCAACTAAAAAAGGAAGAAAAAAGTAAAAAATAAACCTATCCAAAGATCAAGAGGATCTCTCTCTCTCTCTTTCCTTCTCTCTGTCAATCTATCTATCTATCTCACTGTCTCTCTCTGTCTGTCTGTCTGTCTCTGTGTGTGTCTCTCTCTCTCCCTCCCCCTCTCTCTTTCTCTCCCTCCTTCCCTCTCTCTCTCCCTCCCCTCCTCTCTCTCTCTCCCTCCCCTCCTCTCTCTCTCTCCCTCCCTCCTTTCCTCTCTCTCCCTCTCCCTCCTTCCCTCTCTCTCTCCCTCCCCTCCTCTCTCTCTCTCTCCCTCCCTCCTTTCCTCTCTCTCCCTCCCTCCCCCCCCCCTCTCTCTCTCTTACCTGTGAGCCCCCACCAGGTCGGGCACTGGCTGGTCAGTTTGACAACTCCGGAGGCAAACATGAGCCGGAACAGAAGCCAGCGGGCCAGCCACATGGTGATGCTGTCGTGCGGGTTGCCCACTGGTCGCTTACGCCCCAGCAGCTGCAAGTTGAACGGGGCTATGATAATGGTGAGGAAGCCAGCCTCCAGAAGTAAAATATCCCTGCAGAGAAAATTGGGCAAAATATGTCAGAGGCAGGGAGAGACAGAGAGAGGGGGGGGGGGGGGGGGAAGGAAGAAGGGAGGGAAGAAGGGAAGAAAGGAGAGGGAGGGAGGGAGAGAGAGAGGGAAAATGAAAGAGAGAGGGGGGGGAAAGGGGGGGGATGGAAACAGAAAGGGGGAGAGAGAGAGAGAGAGAGAGAGAGAGGGACAGAGAGAAAGGGGAAGAGAGGGGGACGGAGAGAGAGAGACAAATTATTTTCTTAAAAATCAAGATTCCTTTTAACAATTCATAATATGAAGTGCGAGGAGTGAACGAAACTGATCATAAAATCCACATTGGCGACCTAACAGTCAGCCAGACCATGAGATAGGTGAAGGTGAAGGTGAATATTACGAAAAGTTTGAGCTCTCTGAAACATGGCGTACAAACTGGTATATCGTCATGAAACTATTCTTCACTCTCAAGGGAATGACACACACACGAAGCACACACACAAAAAAACCCACGCCTATTAACTTTTTAGGGACGAATAGTAAAGATGAGTATAATTAAAAGTTTGCTGAAACAAACCTGCGGGTCTTGATAGTTTACTGATACCTTAGCATCACCCTGTGACAGAGATATAGTCTTGAGAATGTACAATGGACTATCTGTTTGACTTACCATTGAAACCACATGAAAGTCTGCCCCACCTGGAAAAAAAGGAACAAAAATATCAGTAAAAGAAGGATTCTAAACTCAACATCATAAAGATTTTCTTTAAAGCACAAAATGTTTTCAAAAAGAAACACAAATTCAGCATACAATAAACCAACTCATACTAGTAGAAAGTAATTAAAAACCCATGTACAGCTACATTTCACAACAGTTATTTCTTTCTATGTTTTAATAGTCGATCTAATTTAATTTTTTTTCGTTTTGTTTTTTGGTAAGTGTTTTACGGCACTCGCAACAGCATTAATTTAAGTTTAGAAAGAGTTTTATGGCACTCCCAACTAAATAAAGTTATTTGAGAGCTTTCCTACTATTACAACAGCCCAAAGCACAAGCCTTTGATCAGCATCTGGCAAAACTAAAACGGACATAATTCTCAATTTTTGCACCTTATCACAAAAAAACAAGTGCAAGAGTATTTAAACTGCTTAGTGAAAGACTTAACCACTCCACCATACATCACTTTGAAAAAGTGACACATGATACGAGTCTTACATGAAGCTATTTGTGAAGGAATGTAAAACAATGAATACACACTGCAGAACTCCTAAATGAGGACACGCTTAATCTAACACAAATGCTCTGCTCAGCTTCTCTCTTAGCACGCATGGCTGTTTTGGAATTTTCATATTTCAGAATTCAAAAACTCTCAGGCTGACCTCATTATTAAACTCAGAAAGTTCAGACTTTCTGTTATGTCCTTAAAAAAAGGATTTTGAAATTTACTTGTGACACATTATATTGATCATCCAACCCCCATTTACAAAATCAGTCTCATTTGAACTGTAGGTACTGATCCACTCCTACATACTGCAATATTTATAATTTATAATGTATCGGTCTACTATTTATCTACTGCTGACTGAATATGGCGAGACTTTTTCTGAGAAATTTAACAAACAGACAGTAAGCCTATAAGAAAGGCTCTATGATGGGTGCTTTCTTACACTTAAGACTAGAAAATTTAACACCAGAAAGTTAAGAAAAATATCACTATTATTTATCTGGAAAAGAAATTTTGATCACAGAGGCCTAATGGCAGAACAATGCTAACATGAAAAAAAGACTGACTACGTCTCAATGACATTTAATACAAAACATAATTCCTCTCTGAACTCTCGAACAAATTGTAAAGACAACTTTTATACTCGTTAGCACACCACTGCAGGTCAACAGAGCACCATGCTCTGTCTTTGTGCTCAAGACGGCGTACCTTCCTCAAGGGCACCTGAAATCTGAATCACTGACATTGCACGCCTTCAAATTACAAAGTTGTATTTCAAATTGTTGGCCATTTTAAATTACAAAGACCATGAGGTCACAAATCAAATTTTCTACCTGCTCTATCAAAATCGTAACATTATCTGGAGTAGCTATCAGGAAATTCAGAGAATTGCATTCCAAAAAGCTTGACATAATGTGAAACTCAAAATCTCTCTTTTTGTTTTAGTAAGAGTTTTACGGCACTAGCAACACAAGTTCATATAAGTGCCGAAGATCAGAGGTGTTACAAGGGAGTAACAAATACAAATAAAAGGAGGAGGAGAGAGAAGGACGATAGTTTTTGATAGGAAAGAAGGAGCAAACCACACCAGAGCACCCGCCAACTACCCACTCAAAATCTCTGACGTCAAATTTCTCAAAACTATGTACCGAGCAGACGGAACTTTGTAATTTGTAATTCTGAGGCAGCAATTGCTTGAGAGCCTGAGCCCACTCACAACATTTAATCGCAGGAGCCTCAAACCTCCGCCAAAAAGTCAACAAACTGCTGTACACGTCAAAAAATCAAAAAAGCCTCACCTGGTAAAGGGACAGGTAAAACATCCACAAGAGAGTGAAGGACACAAAGTCCCTGGCCGTCCTCGACACCACGCAGAAAAAAGAGACCACCATCCCCGCAAAGCAGAGCAGGTCCATGCCGGTCTGTACATCTAGGCCGAAGCGAGGCATCAGCTTCAGCAGTGTGGGCTGACCCTCCATCAGATCTTGCCATGAGTCAACATCTGTTGGGGTTTTGTTTTGTTTTTTTTGTTTTTTTTTGGGGGGGGTTGTTTTTTTGGGTTTTTTATTGGGGGGGGGGGGAGGAGAAATGAAAACAATTATTTTTTTAAAAACAAACAAAAAAAGACAAAGAAGACACACACAAATACACACACATACATACATAATTACTACAAAGCACATACACACACTCATCTGTGATAATAAATATATTATGAGTTCTAAAACACTTCATATAGTATGTCACTAAAATTAAAAACATAGTTGAATTCAGTTTACTGATAATAAATTATATGAGAAGCAATCTCACAAAAAGAAATTAATTCAAGCAAAAAAAAATCTCTTCCAGGTCTGCAAAATCAGCTCACCAGAAAATGTTAGAGGCAACACATGCAAATGGAACCTTGCCTTTAAGCGATTCCCATAAATATAAAAATAAAATTGTTCTCTAAAATGCTTCATAAAAGCAGGACTAAATGACCAGTTTTCATCTGAAATTGAAACGGAAAGAAGAAACCTTGCGAACTGATCACTTTATATCCTCTTTGCTACAATATAAACATGGGGGTACTACCTCTCCACAAAAGGAAAGTAGACAAAATTAAATAGACAAAAAAAAAGTAGTGCAGGTACAAAATACCATTTTCAGACCGGTGCTGTTTGTCAGGATCATTTTCATTTGTCCCTTGATAAAATGTTCAGCTGCGCTGGGACATTCATTTTATTTGGTGTTGAAAGGTAGTTTTGCTTCTCAAACTATTTATTTTGTCCCTTAGCTCTCATCATCCTGCATTTCTTAAATATACAGCAGTAACTGTACCTTCACAATCACAGATTCAAGTGACGAACAATTTACTCACCAGTTTTTAGAACCAGTTTAGCTGGTAGAATCCCATTGTCACCATATAAACCTGAGAAAGAAATGGAAAGCATTGTTGAAAGTGAAACTGAAGACAACAGAATATTACTATTACGAAAGCAAGTTCAAACACAGTTCAATGATGCAGTGCAAATAATCGACCATTTCCATCCGGATCATCGCTTTTAAAGTTTTGTAAACACTTACAAAGAGATTGGACTCAAAAAGGACGCTGAGCTGCAAATCGTTAGTAAAGTCATTAAAATTTAAAATAGCCACAATTCTAGGGGACAAATAAAATCAAATTTTAAAACTATTAAAATTACAGTAGAAGAGTCAGTTTGGAAGTTTTGGAGTTTCCCGCATTGCAGTTTGAACCCGAATAGCCACGGGGGAGGCTATTCAAACTCGAGTCACTTCCTTTCTCCACAGCCCAGCACTTTTACTTTTTGACTAAAAATCTAAACCTGCATTTATTGGCCATCATAGGCCATGGGGCGACATGTAGATCTAGATCTAGATCATTTCAGATGGCAGTTCCCAAACCAATTCAAAGCCTACCAAGCCCCTCTTCTGAGCCCTCTCCATTTCTGTGCCTCTCAGTGACTGACTATTTGGCGGCCAACACGGGCCTCTAGAAGACCTTTCTTAGTCAGCCTTAGCGCGGCCTTAGCTTAGCTTCTTCTATAGTAGTAATAGCCTTGTCATATATCATATCCAATATTCGTTGCTATAGATCAATATATAGACCTCTAGCCTATGTCTGGATCTAGACATATTTTCCCTCAATTTCATCTTCAATAAAACCCTTAATAGAATCAAGATTCTATGCCAAAATTTATTTTTAACCAAAAGAACGAAATTAGAATCATTCCGAAACTTGGACCAAGACCTATACGCGGTATAGTTTGCCGGCCGAATAAACTTACCTGGGATTTGAATATACAACGACGTAAAGGCGAAAAGATATACCAGAGACATAAACCAGAGAAAACAATCTCTCGTCCTGTATAAGGAACCCATTTTCGAAGAGAACTGCCTTTAAAATGACAAGAACAAAGTACAGTCGTGCAGGTTCCCAAATCTAGCCTTCTTAGTTCGCATCGAACTGCTAGACTTTGCTTGCGTTTTAAATGTCAGCGTTTCCG